AGAAAATCTTATCGACGTTTAAGATGCTCTCCCCCCCATGAATACATGTCGGACCCAGTTTAGGCCCATAAGTCATAGAGCGGTGGTTTCTTAATGGCTCGAAGCCTTGTCAACTCCACTATATAGACTAAATACTGTCTCAAAGATGCTTTTCAAAGCTGAATCCTTATAAGTTGATTGGTTTAAGCCCTGGTAAGATCTCTTGCGAAATTATACTACGTACGTAGTAGTAGTACTACACTTTCGACATGTACTGTACTACGTAGTACTATTCATGGCGGGGAGAGGGGGGGGAGAGATTTAAATTTTTTTAAGTAACTTTCGGAATTGATCGGTTTCTGTTCTTTTTCTTAAAACCGTCTTTTTACTGGATCGAGTTTTTCACAAATTCTTCTTGAAAACATCTATCCGATTTTCCGTTAATCTCGACGAACTACGTAAACAAGATGCTAGTTTTTATTGATTCGACGAGTAACATAGACTTTCTGATGCTTTCCCGGCTAAGCCTACGTCTCGTCGATAAACAATACTTTATCTTATTAATCGTCGGTTTAATCAACGTGCCCGCGGGCTTACGTTGATTTATCGATAGCGTAATCGAAAGTCAAAAGAAGTTGTCTTTGCTAAATTCGGTAAGTAAAATCTTTCCCAGCTATAGCTATTCGAATAGCTTTTTCTTTATAACTCAGATTCATTAAAGCAGAGATCTGATTTTGAAGCGTTTCTCGATGAGCTAGTGATTTTAAAACCTAATCGACAATCCGTTTTCTTACGTACTAAAGTATCGAGTGTAATAAGTCGTCTAAAACGTTTTCAAAGTGTTATTAGATTTCGTAAAGAATGTTTAACTTGATCGAGAATAAATATAATTTAAAAAATAATTCAAGATAATAAAAAACCGATATCGTTATATGAAATATAAATACGTAATCGATCGTTTCGAGCAAGATCAAAAGCTTTAAAAACCTTAAGAACTCCGAAAGATTCTACTACTATTATCGATAATTGTGATATTAAAACTAAAAAGAAAAGTACGAAAAGCAGCATCAAAATACTTATCAATTAAAATTTAAACCTGTTCGATACGCTTTTATTATATTCCCGATCCAATAAGACGCTTCTCCGAGCTGCTTCGACCCTTTCAAAAATCTTATTTCCCTTGGTAAAAATCCTTGTTTCGTATCCTCGAGGGGTAATACTTACGCCTGGGACGTAGTAGATCTAAACCATTCATCCATCTATTCATTCATCCATTCATCCATCCATCCATCCATCCATCCATCCAGCTTCCCAAATCCCTACTTGCTTACTCCATACTCAGTAGTAATAACCTACTACCACTAGTTTGAGCAACCAAATCTCTCGTCCCCAGCTCAAACTCTGAACCGCAAACGCAAACGCAAACGCAAACTCATACGCAAACACAAAAACTCTAATTCCTTTACTACGTACTTACTGTAGGTCGGTCGATTATTTCGGTCGATTTTGTCCCATGCCTCGAAGAAAGTGGAGTCGTATTTCCTATGCCTTAACCTACTTTTTGAGTGGGCCCGCCCAGCCAAACCTACTCGCTGCTTTATACAGGAAAATTTTTTCACTAATGCCGGTTACACTAGAATTATTTTTTAAAGTTCTCGATTGTAATTTTAAAGCTGTTTACATTTACAATTTTTTTTAAAAAAAAATTAATAGAAATAAATAAATACAATTTTATCGCTTACGGATCTCGGTGTAGCGCTGAACGTGATCGCGAATTAAGGACACATATGTGTTTTTAATCACAGATATCAGCTTAGGAATCAATTTTACAAGATATGCTGTCCGCGCAATTAACGGTCTTGTATAGCGAACACGATCAAAGTATATATGTTTTCTTTATTATATCGATATCGTAGCTTCTTTAATTCGAACGTTGTAGTTGCAACGAGCGCGCCACTTGCATGTAGCGTTAAAGTAGCATACGTATCTTATATAAGTCTTTTCGCTATTCGGACACTTAAGCTTTTATCGCTCGTGGATAGCTTGATTAGGTATTGCGTTTTTAAAAGCTTTCAGATTGTAAAATACATCGCTTTGCTGAATTGAAACAGGTTTCTCTTAAGAATCTTTGAAAAATAGATCTGTATTTATACGTATTAGAATCGAGTATATCGAAGCCGAAGTCGTTAAAAGTAGCGTCAAGCAGCGAGTAGATTTGGCTGGGCGGGCCTACTCAAAAAATGGGTTGAGGCATGGGAAATACAACTCCACTTTCTTCGAGGCATGGGAAATAATCGACCCTTACTGTAAGACATACTTACTACTACGTAATACATGTGATACGGTATCTAATCGTTCCTCTATGCCACGCCCTTCCCTCCACCCTCTCTCTCTCTCTCTAACCCTCCAACCCCCAACCTCCCACCCCTCCCAACGCCGTCGTGTAAGCCCGCACGCAAGCAAACCGCACGCCGAAAAAACGCCATGTACCTACCGTACCTACGTCTGAAATCTCTTTTTTCTCTAGGCTCCCCCACAGGCCCACCCCAGACCAGATCAGACCAGACCAGATCAGATCGGGCCGAAGAGAAAACGAAATCGAAATCGGATCGGAATCGAAGATGAATCGAAGATGAATCGAAGATGAAGAGGGGGGTAGGTAGGTAGGTAGGTAGGTAGCGTAGGTAGGTAGCGTAGGTAGATAGATAGGTAGATAGGTAGTAAGTGAATCGAATCAACTCATATAAATCGCCTCAAATAAACCGAATCCAACGGGCTACACAGCCAGAGCAGTTCATCTCACTGTACCGATCGATGGATTTGGATTTGGATTTGACAGTTAGGATTTGGACGAGTTTGATTAATACATTGGATTTGATTTGATTTGATTTGATTTGATTTGATTTGATTTGATTTGATTTGATTGGAATTGAATTCGGATACGGACTTGATGGACTTGATGGATTTGATTTGATTTGGTTAGATTCGATTTTATTTGATTCGATTTTCCTGGACCGGGATGGGCTTGATTGGATGGATGGATGGGATGGAGCCAGACGGGAATTACGTAGTAGATGGTCCCCGGCCCCGCCCCGTCCCGTCCCCGTCCCGTCCCCGGCCCGGCCCGGCCCAGCATCTATTCCCAGAATCTATTCCCAGAAAGAAAAGAAAAGAGAGATCAGGAAAGGGAGTGGGTGAGATCCTAGCAGCGCCGTCGTCGCTGTCGCCGCGAGGGAGGGCGAGAGTGTGAGAGAGGGCGATGAAGGCTGAGATATAATTTCTTCTCTCTCTCTCTCT